ACCGTGCAGGTTAGAAACTGTCTGCAGGTCATGTGGTTGGCAGATCAACACAGTGACATGGAGCTCTACACAGCTGCCAAACACTGYGCAAAGTCACATTTGTCTCAACTGCAGGAGACAGAGGAGTTCCTACACCTGCCTCTCCGCCTACTGACAGACATCCTTACAGGTAAGGAGTYCTTGAAATTACCTAGGATGTGGATGTAGAAAGAGGCTTTCAGAGTCTGGTCAAGTACTCAATGAAATAGATGGAAAGATCTAACCTTTCATAATCACTGTTTGGAGACTTAGCTAGGCAAAGCAAAGCAAAACATTCTGGGTAACTTAATCAGAAAAAGCCCTGAACTATTAATTGTTATTGCACATGAAACATCTAAGCTATGGAAAAGGTAGACTGAGGATGCCAGAAATTCACAGCACTTCCTGAGTCAATAGGTTAGAAGTATTACACAGTTTTTAAACATAACTTCCAACTATTTGTTGTATTTTTGTTTGCGTTAAGAATTAAACAAAGAAGTCTTACTAGAAATAAATATCTGATGCAAGTCTTTTTATCCCTTTAGCTCATAATCATTTAACATAGTAATGCAATAACTCAACATCTGTAAAAAGGCTTGAGCACATATTTTAAGACTATTTTAGTGTTATTTACAATTGTGTATAATTGTTAGGATTAGTTAGGCACTCGACTGAATGAAATAGAGGCATTGTAACATTTTGAGTAATGCACTAATTATCATTCTTGTAAAGGTAATAGACTTCCACAGTAATGGATATAATGACTGTATTGTGAAGGGCATATTAACACATAAACATCTTAGCCCAGCTTCCACCAATCCTTAAAGATCGGCTGTCCTAGTAGGTACAGCCAGTACTTGGTTACCTCTCCATGATGCTGCAGTCACAAGTCCATTTTTCTGCAGTTATGTATCATTGCTAGAGGAAGCAAGAATGTATAAGCAGCTYATATTCAGATGTGTCTCTTTCTTGCTTTAATTACTTTTGGTAACTGAGTAAGTTACACATGTGTCATGTGTTTTATATGCTGTTACAAAAATAAACTTACCGGGATTGGCTTCTTGAGAACACTAGCAAATCTATCCATAAGACTTAAACTAACCTTTAGAGTTGATGCTATGCTATATGAGAGTCTTTACAGATACTGCATTGAATTAACTCTATTGCATCTAAAGAAATTTACAGTCAAGAACCTATTGAGTATATGTATTGTTTGCTCAAAAATGGTGATMATTTTGATAACTATCTAGATAAAGTTTTTTAAGTAAGTTGAGTAAGTTGCAAGTTCATTAAAAAAACCCTTTAAAATCACAAAATAAAATTGTAGAGGTCAATCACCTTTGATTACCTAGGGATTCCAAATAGCAACCATAGTTTTAAGACTATGGACTTTAGTGCTTGTGATCCTAAATTAAAACAATTGATCAATATCKCTTTTTTCCATGCAGCATCTATTTTCATATGTAGAATTACATTACTCAGTATTTATGCCACAACTTCGTTCATAAAATGGATTAAAATCTGAAATACTTCCCTACTGCTGGTAGGAAAAATCCTTTTCTTTTCCATTTCCTGCATCTTTGTTTAGTTTGGGAAAATTAATTAGAGGAAGCTTTTAGTGGCAAGGATTAAAATTCATTTGATGAAATAGTAATTCATGAAGTTTACCTTCTGTTGTACTCTAGAATCAATTTCAAAATCATTTTTTTCCATTTAAGCACTACATGTGATGGTTAGCTTTTAGGAATCCTTTTAAACAGAGTGGAAATACCTGCTTTTGTGCCACACTTTTTCTGCTCCCTTCCACTATAGAGAAAAGCATTAGAATTTGTCTGGTGCCTTCAGCATCATTGTATTCAGAGTTTGTCATGAGAGAAGACTACAAAATCAGAGAAGGGATTGCTCCTCAATGAACACAGCATAACTGCTGGCTTTCAAACTGGAAGGAAATGCTTAAAATCTTTTAGGTCATGTACAATGATGATGATGCAAGAGTTTGTGGCTTAACCAAAACTTCCAGTTATGTGTGGAAAGAGATTGAAGTCCAATGCAGTCTGTGGAGTGTTTTCTTCTGTCAAACAGCTAAGAAAAGCTCTAGTAGCTCATTGGGGATTTCCAAATGTTAAGAGGATAGTAGCAACACCAGATGTTCAGTCATGAGGGTCAGCTCCCTGACGGTGCTCAGACACATTCTGTAGATGACTTTTGCTGGATAGGTTTCTAGGACCAGCCAGAAAGAAAGGCAGGTGCTGAGATTCTCAGTAAGAGATCTTTCTGCCTAAATGATTAAATAAGGAAATATTTCTCACAGTCAGACAGCATGTAAGTTCTCTTTCCTGTCCTCCTTCCTCTTGGACATGGATTCTTTTGCTGAAACTCATCCAAAGTGCTTAAGATCTGGCAGCTCTGTCTTCTGATAATTACACAAACTAATTTTATGTAGTTGTCTGGCTGGCAGTGCTGATCATACCTGACAAAATCTATAAACATCTATTTTTCCTCTCTAGAAAGTAGGGTTTGTGGTGGGAGTAGGGGGAGGCAGTCACAGGGAAATTATGTTCCTGAGTACATACACCTTTGTCTAGATATCATAAATGCTTTTCTGTCCCCGAACCGCAGATGGCGTTCCATGTTCTCAGAATCCAACAGTTGCCATAGAAACCTGGATCAACTTCAACAAGGAGGAGCGAGCGGGCTTTTCAGAGACTCTGCGATCAAGTCTGAAGGTATCAAAAGACCTTATGTTCTGAGGCTGGTGTAGTACTTGCTGGTTTCACACTTCTCAGGGCCGAGTATTCTGCTCACAGGTGGGACTTGAAAGTCACAAAACACAAATGTCATTGAAATTCATGATGCTTGTGAGAGGATACTTTCAGTGTCATGAACAGCAGCCCCACTGACAGCTTTTTTAAATTTAACCTGAGGCTGCTTTCACTGGTGATTGGAGCAATGCCACAAATAACTTACTTCACCTCAGTTACCAAAGAAGTGGTTCAGAAATCTATGTTTGGCATTCCCCTTGTAACAACTATATTCCATCAGTGATGTAACCGGCCCTTACCTAAACCATAAACACTTATGTTCCAGTGATATGGGGCTATTTCACTGTGTCAGATATGAATGGTATCTTGAAAAGGCCTTGAGGCTCTGAATCCTGCATGTGGTAGGGGTGGCAGGATTTGGAAAGCAGGTTATATACCTCAGGCCCACAGGAGAGTCCTAAACTGAAAAATTCAGTCTTGAGCATCACTGATATTTGTGTAAACAGATCTGTTTCTGCTGACACTTTTCCTTTCTCTCAGGTAATTGGAGAAAATGTTCACATCTACCTGATTGGAAAGGAGTCCTCACGTACACATTCCCTGGCTGTGTCTCTGCACTGTGCTGACGATGACTCCATAAGTGTGAGTGGCCAGAACAGCCTGTGTCACCAGATCACTGCAGCCTGCAAGCACGGGAGTGACCTGTACGTCGTTGGTGGCTCCATTCCACGACGCATGTGGAAATGCAACAATGCGACGATAGACTGGGAATGGTGTGCTCCTCTGCCCCGTGACCGGCTCCAGCACACCCTTGTCTCTGTGCCAAGCAAGGATGCAATATATTCACTGGGGGGGAAAACTCTACAGGACACTCTCTCTAATGCTGTCATATATTACAGAGTACGAGACAATGTGTGGACAGAGACCAGCCAGCTGGAAGTGGCAGTCTCTGGAGCTGCAGGGGTAAACCTTAATGGTGTCATTTACCTACTGGGTGGGGAGGAAAATGACTTAGACTTCTTCACCAAGCCCTCTCGGCTCATTCAGTGCTATGATACCAACACAGAGAAATGCCACGTGAAGCCATACGTACTGCCTTTCGCAGGGCGCATGCACGCCGCTGTGCACAAGGATGTGGTGTTCATTGTAGCTGAGGGGGATTCACTGCTCTGCTACAATCCCCTACTGGATAGCTTCACTCGGCTGTGCCTCCCAGATGCCTGGAGCTCAGTACCATCCCTGTGGAAAATTGCCAGCTGCAACGGCAGCATCTATGTCTTTCGTGACCGCTATAAAAAGGGCGATGCAAATACTTTTAAACTTAACCCAGCCACCTCTGTTGTAACAGTCACGAGTGGCATCAAAGTGCTGCTCACTAACCTGCAGTTTGTTCTGGCCTAAACAGGCCCAATGATAGAAAGACAGCAACAGTGTCTTGCTGTGCAGCTCAGAGACGCCTACGACCCTCAGCACCAGTCCCAATTACTACAAGCTCACAACATTCAGTAAAGACCCCATCCTCTGTATCTGTGCAGAGGAAGCACAGGCTTTCCGACTGTGGGCCTATTCTTTTACATAGCACTGTTGAAACTGTATTGAACTGTTGTGTCTTAAGATTTCAGATGGACTAAATGCTATTATTTGGATTCCTTGATGATAAGCTGCTTGTGTTTGAGGCCCAAATGGCAGCAAATATCTATTTTAGCCTGGAACCAATCCACCACTAAAAAATCCTATGGCATATGGACATCCTTCTTGGCCCAGACTGCTAGTTTTAACTGCCTACGAGACTGTGTGTTGCTGCCGTGTCAGTCAGAGAGTTAGATGTGCACTGTGTCCCCCAGGGATGCTCCCATTTAAACATTCCCGTGTCCAGCTGCAGGAGGGCCTGGCAGACAGATTCCAGAACTGACCCCAGGACCCTTAGGTTACGTTCAGCACTTCTAGAGGAGTGGCAACCAACTGAATACTTGCTTACTGCTCTGTCATCACCTAGTATAAAGAGGGAGATCATTTTTAGAGCATTGGCTTCCTTCMCTGTACAGGAAATCCCCACCTGTAATTGTAACATACTGTTGGTGAAAAGACAGAAATAAGACCACTTCCTCCTACCCCTCTCTGTTGGCACTGTAACCCTTTGGGTAAGAATCTGAATAAAGTCTCTACTGAGACAAAGTATTTTGTTTTTTTCTCTTTGCTTCAAATATGAGTATTTTTTAACTTTCTGTGGATTGCAGATCTACTCACCAATCATGTAGAAAAGAACTATGGGGCTCCAAGAGATCTAGGATATTATCCAAAAGAAAGCTTCAATGAAACAGCCCTATTTCCTCTTTACTGTAATTTATGTAAAAASTTCATTACTGATAGTCAAGAAGAAACATTTTTCATTAGATTGTAAAAACCGTTTTTTTATAGCAGCTGAGATGGTCATTTTGATAGTTCTTCATTCTGCAGTACTGCAGTCCTCCCAGTGGTCATGTTCTGGTGAAATTTCTCCAGGACCTGGATTTGCTTGTTTCGAACAAGGATGTGGGGACGAATTTTGGCAATGGCCTCTATTGCTTCCTGAGGGCTCCAGTGATGCAGCTGAAAAGGCAGAAACCCAGCAAGTGAAAATCCATTCCATCTTTTCCTAGTGAACGGAACCCTCCTGGAGGGCTGTGGGCATTATCAAAGGTGTTAGAAAACTTGCTGCTGCTTTTGCCCCTTTACTTGATGTTCCTCTTAGAAAGGCCTGAAAGTCACACAGTTATTCATGAAAAGAGTCCCTCAGTTAAAGAGGAATCATGACTGCCTGGGCCCTCCACTTCGTGTCTCGCTCACTCTTCCTTCATGTTGTGCATRGTTTCTGTCCTAGCCCCATTAGATCAGAGCAAAATTTTTAAATTAAAAAAAAAAAATTACTGGTACTCCCATTTCATTTCAGCACTTAAGAGAGAAAATTTAATGGAAATTTTTCCAGGGAGTGCTTCATAACACCAATGGAAGAATTCATAGGTGGGATTTTGTTCTTAGTGCTGGCTTCCTCAGCTGGGTTGGTAAAGGAACTCAGAAAACTGAAGCCAGTTCTCTTGATCCTGAATTGTATTTATGGAAAAGCATAGGAAGGCTCATMATTCCAGTGAACCAAGGAGAAAACATGAACAACAAAAATGGATGTTTATCTGCTCAGTGAATCTACTCTCATTCCCATCTCAACCTGTTCCTCCATAGAAAGAGTTAAAAAAAAGCAGAAGCATTCGAAACTTGCATTCGCATTCAAAACAGTAAGGTATGTGCAATTATGGAATATTAACCTGCACATGCTCAGGTTTCTTGAGTGAGAGTTAACTATAAAAATTGTCCATGCTTTATTTCAATTTTATAATGAAAATAAACTCCATTTAGCAGAGACTCCTTCTGACCTGAATTAAATATGCTGCCACCATGGTGGCACTGCGGGAGCGCCCTGCTTTGCAGTGCACATAGACGCTGTTACCATGGGCTCGGTGTTTCAGGATGAAATCAACACCCTTTTGCAGGTTTTCCAAGGTGGGGACTCCAGTTAGATCCACGGTGCTGAGACGGAGTTGCTCCACTCCCATCGCCTCCCATTCCTATAACAGACATAGCAGATTTGGTCAGTGAACTTTTGGGGTGTTTTTTTTACTGAAAAAAACTCAGAGCCTGTTGAGAATTGAGAAATTCAGGGAGGCTGTGAACAGACGTTGAATGTCAATCCTTTAAATCAGATGTATGAAAACGTCAGTGCTGATCATCAGAAAGTAMTAGTTAAAGGGGATCGAAAAAAATGTGGTTCAGCTAAAGGAAAAGAGGGAAGTTAGGATCTCTTCCCAACTCAGAAAGCGTTCCTGTGTAGTGATGTACTTGCATTTCGTGCTGCCCCGTCCCTCCCTGCCACTGCAGCTGCAACAGTTCACTCGCATGCTCACGTTCTGCTGGCTTGTAGCATAGTTTTTTAAGTCGGCTTAGGTACAAGTAATCACGTCCTTGCTGCCACAGGACGTGGCGGTCGCTGCCGGACTGACAGCAGGAGGCGGCTAAAGCCTCACCTGAGGCGGGACAGACAGCGACGAGAGACCCGTCCGGGGCGGAGGGGGGCAGCAGCAATGCCAGGGCTCACCTGGGGGGAAAAACAGAGGAACCGGGTCTCGTAGTCCTCGGTGAGGGTGATCACGCCGCGCACGTTCTCCTCCGCCAACAGCTGCGGGCACAGGCACCGTCAGGGACCTCCGGCCCTCCCGGCCCGGCCCGGCCCGGACCGCCCCGCCGCGCCCGCCTTACCCTGCGGATGCGCCCCCGCAGCGGCAGCGCCCCGAGCACCACGACCTCGTCGATGCGGTGGAACCAGGGCCGGCGGGACCCGGGCAGCCGCGCCCGCGCCACGGTGTAGAGCAGCGACGGGTAGAAGAAGAGCCGCGCCGCGCCGGCGCCCAGCGCCTCCAGCACCCCCATGGGAGCCGGGGCCGCGCCGCGCCAGGCCGGGCTG